AAGACTGGCGTTACGAATGGTAGGAAAAAATCCGGGAAAATGCCACCACTATACCACACCAACTCAGACAGATAAACCCAGACTATAAATCCCGAAAATGCCTCCCGGTTAGGGAGGCCATTTTCATTAACATGACATGTTCCAACTAGATTGGCAGCACGCGGTACTGCACTCGGCATGCCATACATTGATCTCAGCCGTTCGATATAGAAGTCTAAAACAGTATTAATATCTTACGGTCGGGTGGCTTTGATGCGCTTTGTGCCGCCAGCCACGTGGGACAGACCCACCTCAATTCTTGACACTGACTCAACCGGAGCTTACCCAGGGGACTGCCGTTCCCGCTGATAATTGAAAAGAAACCGATCGACGGCCTGCGACTTTTTGACACACGTGCGAATCCCAATCGCATGACCTGCGACAGGCGGCCGACCTGCTTTGAGCGCCCAATACGACAAGACGGTCCGAAACCCGCTGTACCAGAATCTAGTGCCAGCTGCAAAGCCGATATATCAGGCGTCCCATCGGATGGTTAAGGTTGCCGATGCCGTACACCAACTTTTAAACGCCCTATGTGCACCTCCGGGAATTGCGTGTTCCCCACATTCCCCTCGCGCACAGATTCGCCAAACTTATAAGGGTGAAAGGGCGGACTTGCAAGGGAAGGTGCCAGGCAGACGGTCGCCATATACTTTCAGACGTCGTACGGCGGCCTTGCACGACACCAATACGATGGCTTCGCCTTTTTCAATAACGCGTACGCTCGCGCGCAGTCAGGGCGCACACAGAACAGCAAGAAAATGGCATGCCAAATTAAACGGTACTTAAGGCATTTTTATTCGTGCTCCTATTGGCCGAAACCCTTACCGGTTGACCGCATTGACCAAGATCGAAACTTGAGCTACTAACCCCCCTACTACCCCCAGCAAATTCCCCACTGCGAAATCGGGACATCCTTAACCCCGTACTAAATCCTTCATCGCAAAACTTCCAAGGGGGAGGACATTCTAGTTGTAGTATTGATCTGATATGTACGCTTGAGCTACATGCGCGCCCATGTGAAAAATCACAGGAATCGAACCCTGTTGCTACAATGAATAATAAACGAAGTTGATGCTTTGCAATGGGCCATTTCTCAACCGCCATGCATATTCAAGTGTTGCGGCATATTGGCCCCCCACTTTTTAGCATTTTGCATGCAACACCATTGAAACGACATCGAATGGGATTGCACGCTCCAGTCAATATCAGTAACATACCAACAACACATGCTTATGCTTAAAAGCCTTGTGAACCCGGGAGACCTCATCATTGAGCATCTTTTCAAACGCCGAACACGAGTATGATTTGCACTTGAGCCGCCAAGGGCCCCAACGCAGGTCCATGCAGGCCCTAGACCCTGGGCGGACCTTCAGTTAAAGGTGTGCAATCTGCAACTTCATGGGCGACAACCCATACGACCGAGTGAAACAGATTCGTTCCTTCAGATTGAGCCCTACAGACGGTAGCGAATATCAGGACATTCCATTGATAGACCCAAAGGAACCAGCGGTCCTGTGCTCAAACGGTGTGCTCGATGTATTCTTGCATTGAAAAAGCCTACCTAAAATGTTTCAGGCATGATCACGTAGTTGATAGCAGCTCTGGCTGCTTTTGCTTAGGTAATACCCAGCAAGATCGCACGCAATCCAAATCAAGTTCCCCTTCATATCAGAGTACGATTCTTGAAGTTGGCAAACTTTGTGCTGGTCGAGTAAGCATACGCAATTCCATGTGCGCTGAGGAACTCCTCTCTGGAATGAACGAAGCGAAAGTCGTCAAGAGCAGGCAAAAGGCGAGCAAAGGTAAGGACGCAAACATCGAGATTTTTTCGAAAATTCTCAACACTTAACATCAAAAAGCGGGTCACAGAGAAAAATTGAGGCCCAGAATGGGAACGACTTGTGTGAATGAAAGTGGATTGTCAAAAATATCATGGAATACCACCTATGCATAACGGGAACGGCTGCTTCTTGCACAGAACGAGGCACTGCAGGGTAAGAGTTCAGCATTGGCACCTTCAATGTATCGAAGAGGGCACTCACAGCAAGGCCTTGAGCCTGTCCGGTTCAGTTGATTCGCATTCCAGCTCGTACACTGTACCATGGTCATACTGCAACAGTCAAAGAATTTCGACGGTAAGCTCGCAAGCAGCCAGCAACTCGGACGATGCAGACGCTTCGAGGATTCTTTTGCTTGGCTTTTGGATCTCCCTCATCATTTTTGGAGATGACATGCTCTGACTAAGAGGATGCACACAGTCGACCCTTGATCATTGATCAGTATTGTATGCAGATGGATACCTCTCTAAGGTTGCCTGCAAACCCGCTTAAAGCTGGAAACAAGTTACAAAGGAGCCTCGACTTGCATACGTTTACAAAGTAGTCAGATCTCTTTGACGATTAGTCTTAATGGCTGACGGTCGAGCCAGATGGCCAGCGCTCCCCTCATCACAGTCAGGAGTCGGAGAGAGTGGATAAGGAGCAGGGCTTCTTCGACAAAATCAGGTTCGACAGATGGACACCCACGCCCTTTCCTTCTTCAAATGCACAGACCACACACGATGATCCACTTTGAGAAAATGAGATTCGATCGTATCTTGCTTCAGGTGGAAAGGCGTGCCCTTCTCTTCTCGCATACACCATATACTATAATCCACTACGAAACATCGAACTCCAGGCTGAGGAGGAACAGTCGCTCGTAATTCGAAGATCTTTGTCAAACTTTCCAGTATTCGAAAAGGCCGCGTTCTCTTGCAGCATTGAGCGCACCTGAGTTTCGTCTAGCTCGATCTTGTGGTCGTTCCAGTGGTACACGTGGCGCACGTTCTTGAAGCCCCCGAGACACTTGAAACCGGTACACTTGTACTCGGAAACCTGCACCAGCAGGGTTCTTTATCAACAGGCCTTATCCTTCTCTCAGATTTTGATCCTCCTCTTCCAAGGAAAATGTCGAAGGGGAGACGTCCACCAGCCGTCAAACCAACACACTACTTGCTCAGATGTGACCGCGTTGACACCGCTTTCTGCTTCCCGCATTTTGCTCTGAAGCGTCCGACTTAGATAAGTAAGTCCTTCAAAGCGGGCACGCCAAAGCGAATAGACGGGGTTTTCGACCAGAAAACGTATATAAGACCTTGTCAGAGTGGGACTGCTTGTCTAAAACAGTGTGGGGGGCGTGAGCAGCCCACTGGGACACACAACAGGAAGTACAGTACCTTGGGGCTCAGCTTCAAACGTCGGTGTACGAACTTGTTGCTATGCTTTCCTTGTTGCGTCTGTAGTTTCTTTCCTAGATTTCACCGCATAAGGAGCAACGAGGCATCTCCAAAGGAATATCCTTACCATTTGGTTCAACAAAGGGGATCCTGCAGTCAACACCTTGGATGGCTCCACAACACATGCCCTGGCTAGTGCAGGTTCAATCTCCTCCTCCAACTGCATACACAAAAATATCGCACTCAAGAATGGTCTGGTTGACAGACCTGATTTTGGGTCTACCAGTTATACAATAGGCATGAGGAGAAGTTCAGTGGACTGTTGCTTACAATCTTCAAACGCAATCCTTTGTATTGAAGACTCGTGCAAATCTGTGAGATCTTTGTGCACATAAACCTCAAATCTGGAGCAGCTGGCACAGCAGCTTTATCCGCACTTGTAAGAAAGCAGGAGTTTTGTAAGTACGAGCGAGTTTTCAACAGTAAGGACGCAGACTACTGTAGGGCTACTGTGCTCTTGTGGATCTCTGCAATCAGACAACTGTAAGCAAATACAGAGGACTGGATTCAACAACAAATACTAAGAGCAGAAGGCTTTTAGTGATGGCTGACCTCTTCTGATCGGCCGACTCCGTCTGTGAGAATAGTCTTCTTCTTGACTGTGATGATACACTTGTCGTCCCCGTTGAAAAACCGGAAGCGAAGGATAGCTCTATTTGCGCTCCTGCAAGCAATGTAGGCTTTGAGCAATTGAAGTATACAATCAAATATACACAGAAAATGGCAAAGCACAAGCTTCGGGAACCAGAGCCAAAGGACCCACACGCCTGCTTCAAGCGACGGGGCCAAGGACTACCCAACTGGAACTAAAGCGAAGACCCCCTTAGTCACTAGCCAGCTTCACGACGTATAGCTTTGAAAGCAGTTTGTGACGAGTCTGACTTTCAAAGTCTGGAGATGATATTTGCGCCCTTCCTCACAAGTCTGCCACTTTGTACTTCGCCCTTTCAAGGCGTATTTCAAGCCACTCAGTGGCCTGATTGACCAGCTACTTGCTTGCAACAGGCTGCAGTAACAAGCTGGTCCTGCTCTCACAACGAAAGGAGTGCTGACTCACAGCTCCTCATTAGCTCCGTCAAAGAACACGTTCTCCTGCAGGTGTGTGACTTCATGGTTCGGTTCGAGCAGCTTTGCAATCTTGGCATGGGCTTCAGCCGAAGGCAGGCGCAGCTTGACCTCAACCTCCATCACTGACCCTTTCATGCACCACTCCAGTACGCTTGCCACCGATTGCCACCGCGGAGGTCCAATTTCAGATGGTTTGCTGGTATTTTCCGATAGAAAATTCAGAAGCTCTCAGAACTTCTTTTGCGCACCCCCACTGCTCAGTAGTCCCTGAAGATGCACAATCCCCTGCTCCACTCTCTTGCTTGAAGCTTGACCGTTGGTCACTTTGCGCTGCTGCAAACCGGTGCACGCAAACCAGTGGACAATTGACTGGCGACTCTTAGCCCTTGAACCCGATTCTCTGCTGCACAGTCTGCTTCTGGTGGGCCCTTATATTGAAGGGCGAGAGCTCGATGCCACCGGGCGCTTTGGCCGCCGCCGCTGCCTCAGCAGCCGCCCTTTCTGCTCGAATCTCCTCGTACTCTTCTTTGTCCTCTGGCTTCAGCTCGATGCGGGTAGGGCGCCTGCGCAACATAGCTGGTTGGGCGGCCCAGGATCAGCTGCAACAGAAAACCTCACTGCATAGTAAACTGGCAGAATACAGCTCGCGAGACAAGCTCGCAATTTCAATTTTCATGCAGTGCACAACTTTCCCATGCAGCTGATTTCTGCCCAGGCCCAGGGCCGGAGGAGCAGAGTCCACAGAGCTTTGAAAGTGCAGTGAAACGCTAGCGGCAGAGCATGACCTGACGTTACAGTTTTCGCTCTTGAAAACACTGGCGTAAATCGTCTCCAAAATTGGCGCCCCAGTCCAACCACAGCTTGAGCGCCCACACAAACATCTAGGTAGTTCTGCACGTCGAGTAAACTCAGAAAGAAGGCGCCTTGGTCAAGCTGGAACCCTGACAGAAGGAAGAAGAAGGCCCAACAATCAAGAAAGCGGGCAGACAGTGCGACCTGCCCACAATGGCTGCGACTGCGTCCTGCGCAGCCAGGTTGTCCGCTCTTCATTGCACGCCTTCTTCCACACAGCTGTCACGGCATCACAGCACGCGCGCCAATGACCGAGGCCTGCCAACGGTACAGCGTTGCGCATTAAGAGCACCTCTGTGTTCCAATTTGTGTCATACCAGGTTCCTGGGCACGGTCTCGTTTTTGTCTGGGAGGCCAGTCTTGCAGGAAGTTTTGCAGAAAGCAGGGGTGCCCTCCTTGAGAAAGAGGGCAATTGAAGCAAAGTCGGGCAACAAGCGTGAGGCGTCTCACTCAGGCTACCAATCTTGTTTGTGTGGTCGCTGCACTTCTTTCTAAATTGCTCCGCCACTAAAAATAGGTTCCCCTTAAAGATAGATCAAGCGGAATCTGCATCTTGTTGATGTTGGTGTGGGTGTGCGTAAGGTTGGCGTGTGGGTTGGCTTAAAGGCTCCGTGATTGCGCCTTAAATATCATCGTTTATACTGATTGCTCGATGTTAAAGTGGAGTTAAGCCTATGCTTGCACCACGGGCCCGTCGCACGCCTGTTGCATATCATCAGATGCTTATGTCCGTTGGTAACCCAGAGATCTGTTCTTCTGCCTGCAAAAGAGCTCTTGTGCCTCGATCCTTTTGTTTACCATCAATAATCCGTGTTTCGTATATTGTGTTGTCCATGAATCTCGCTTTGTCCGAGCTTTCTCCTGCCCCTTGTAAGCCTCTCTTTCAATGTCTTCCCCAGTCATAGAAACGGTCATCGGCACCGGCAAGACCGGGCTCAAGGTGGCAACCGACCTAGTCCCGGTGAGAATCAGCGTCTCAAAACAACCTTCACAATCAAAGCTGTGATGATTCATGTTTGTGTCCTTTGGGGCGCTCGTCGACTGTCCAACAATTCTGGGAGATTTTGGTTTATGTCTCTACTCCTATAAGAGAATTAATTCTCATATTGCGTGTTGCTGCTATGACACTATCTCGAGATCCTTTACAGCAGAGATTAATGGAGGTATGTGCAGTCCGGTTTGAGCAGCAACTTACCGGTTCGGAATCTACTGTCTAAATTTTGGGGCTATATCAGGACTATCCTTGAGGTCGACGATTTTTGCAGTGGGATTCGAAAGTCGATCGAAGAATCCCAAGAGTCCATCACAACAATGGCCGTTTGCTTGATCTCTGTTCTGCACTTGGGTTAACATGGCTTCCTCACAACACTCCGCCTGCGGACTCGCACTCCTAAAGCCCCGCCACGCCAAAAGTTATCACCTTTTTGTGATATCTTCAGTCCTGCTGTCTGAGAGCGCCTCCGTACTGACAATTGCACTGTTTGCAGAGTTCTATTCCCAGGCCTGTGGCTAGCACCGGCGTCGTGGTGGTTGGGGGCCTGGTTCTGCTGTCCTTATTAAAGAGCATCGTTTCCACGGCTGTCACACTGGTGGTAAGTGTTTTCTCTGGTCGATATGGCTGAAGGTATTTTGCGTGCTCGAACCAGAAGGGAAGCTTTTATTTACCATGTGGATTGAGGATAACGCACCTGTGTCATTTGCAAGCAGGGGCAGTGTCATGGAATAAAGCTCTCTGTCAAATATGCAAAGGTCTAATTCACCAGGCCATGTGTAAAGGATGCCGAATTTGAAACTAGGTCAAAACTTGGTTGGTTCCCATTGAGTCCCAGCGGATCCACGTTTTGCTCGCATTGTCTCCTGCTCGAGCGCTGCTGCAAATGGTCGGAAAGAAAATTCTTTGAGCTAAAGTTGCTGGTCCAGACAGCGAGCCTCAGGTGATTGGGGCTCTCTTGTTTCCCACTCGTTTGATTCTGTCCTTGATCTCTTTCTCTTCTCGAAGAGAAGGGCTCTCCGCTTTGCAAACACGAACGGGTATCTGCAAAAGTGAAAAAACACATTTCTGAATCGTGATTCGCTTTAAACAATGCGCTGTTTCAATTTCGAGAGGATCCCGTTTTCGCCGCTGCAAGTCTCTGCTTACCTTTCATGCACCTTTTGACTAGCTTTCTAAAATTCATCACCCATCTTTCTGATATGCTGGGCAGAAACGCCTCAAGCACAAGCAAGAAACGGCCTCTCCTCCCTTCAAACACTGAGCGGTATTGACTTCTGCGCAGGTTGTTGGAGGACTTGCATATGCAGCCTTCATGTATGCAAAGAAGAGCGATGACTCCGGGAGCGGTGGAGATGGGGCTTCAGACGACGACTCGTTAGCAGAAGCGAAACGTATCATGGATAAGTACAAGTAACAACCGGGAGTGGCAGGCACACGCGCTAGGAGCAAGCTGTGTACAATAAGCTGTGCAATATTCACGATTTGCTGTTGCGGAATTTTCATTTGGCGTTTGAGTGCGATCCTTTGCAGATATTTGAGCGCACGGTTCGTTGGGTGCAACTCAATCGTAGTGGAATAAGTTCTAGCTGATTTTTTGTAATTTGGGGCAACCCCTTTGTAGGAACATCATGACCGGGGAGACAACCTCATTTGTTTACACGAACTGGTGTATAGACGGTCATGGTTCACGAACTGGTGTATAGACGGTCATGGTTCTCTGCTCGGTTCAGTTGGCTTCAACGGAGGTTTTGAGTCGGACCTTCGTGGACATGAAGGCAGATTAGCCATGGCGTAAACAGTGCCAGGTCACGCAACGTTGTTTGCAAAGGAATGCATGGCCGGTCTGATCGACAGGCACATGATTCAGCAGTTGTAAATGGCAGTGTGCAGCTTGGTCCATTGAATATGGTTTTGCGCGCGCTCATGCATGGCTGACCCCAGATCATCATCATTGTGGTGCACTGTATGTACGAGTTGTAAAAGTTCATTTAATCGACAAGCGAACTTCATGCTAGCTCTTAACTAATTGCCCACTCAGCGATACCGTACTGGCACATGCTGGCACCAGCCTGAGTCTATATGGATCCGGCCACAAAGATGCGATTTGGCTGCCTATTTGAGGTTTGCTCAAAAGTTGAAACCGGAGAATCAGTTGTGGGCTCAACTCGAGTTGATGCCACCTTCATCTTCTTCATAGCTGGCATAGCATATATGCCAAAACTCTATGCATGCAGATAAAATCAGCTTGACTGTCACTACCGTATCTACCATCGGTGTTTCTCATGCAACAGCATGACGGCACACGTGGTATTGTACCCATTCGCTAACACTAATCCATTCTGTCCTAGCTGCCGCCACCCTCTCCTTGAAAACCTGGAAAACCGAAACAGCCACCGTCGTCTCTCAACGGCACACTTTTCGCCTGCTTCTGAATTCTATCCAAAACATCCGGAAAGCTCCTCGCTTATGGCAGATCGCCGCGGTAAACGAGCATGCGTGTCTACAGTAGCAATGACCTCCGCATCCAGTAGCTCTGATGAGCATGATATCAGTCCGCAAGAAAAGCGCTAACGTCTAACACCTTTACTTTATTGCAAGCATTGGCACCACTCCGGATCTCCGAGCAGTTACCAGGGCCAACCGTTCATCTCGCATATCTATTCTTATTCACCCTTCTCATCCCAGCCCCAACCGCTCATGGTCACGAGCCTTGGCTTTTACTCCTCACACGTGCCCTCCGATCCGCTGAATTCTCCGGCCCCCGCTTCCTCTTCCCCGGGCTCTCGTCCCCCCGGCTTCTGGACCCCGGGGAATGACTCCCCGGGGGAGTACCCACGGTCCGGTTTCCTCGGGGCTGATCGACGAAACCACCACTGTCTTCAGGAACGTCATCCAGTAATCGTTCCCGACCGTCGAAGTCGGTCGAAGGCTCGCTCTCGGGGGCGAACGTCATGCTGCACCGAAGAAGGTCAGCAGCGATGAGCTGACGCGAACAAGACATTTGTGACGTCAGTTGTACAGCGGCATCTCAACGGCTAGCAACACCAAGAAATCCTTGTGGGCATTGGTGCCCCGTAGAGAATCGCTGCTGGGGATGCAGGGAGGGTCAGCACAAAATCGGGCAAAAGTTCGGAAAATTCTCCACCTAGTAAACATAACCTCAGTAAACATGAAACCAATTCGGGTGTAACTACAATCCTAACCCAAAAGTCCACCGGCTCCGCACCCGCACCCACTCAAATCCCTTAACTGACCCCACCCGTCCCAGTACTGTTCGAAAGCAGCTTCCTACTCACCAGATCGATCAAAAGTCGAAACCGGAGGGCAGGTGGAACGTCCTTCTTCCAAGAGGTGGCAATCGACTCTTATAACTCCGACAGCCGCCACTGACCTGACACTCGTATGCGCCCGCGACACGTCAGCAATCGGCCCAACTGGGGCGGGGTTCTGGCTCCCTTGCTGGTGCGACCCATGCTTCCGCTGCGGTGGCCGGCTCCATGACCCTCGCAGGACGCTGTCTGGAGTCAACTGGTCCGTCCGGTCCGAACCTGCGCAAAAGAGAACCGTTGATTTTCGCACGCCCGATCCAGAACGGGGAAGGTGGCCCCTTCTAAATTCATGTTCGTTTCGAAGAGTAGTTCTCGATTAGGACGAGCAGAAGGAGACAAACTACTCTTCGCTTTTCGTGGCCTCTGTTTTATCAAACTCAAAACTCAAGAGCACCATTGTTCCAAGATACTTTTGAATATACTATTGCATTGGGAAACATCGTGAACATTTCCTGCTTAACGTAAGGCTCTCAATGCTGCTCCTCTGACAACAGCCACGCCTTCGACGCCGCCTTCCTATCAAGAGGCAGAAGTGGGCACTCTCCAAACGTGATTTCAAATTCGTGCCGCTCAGAATGGTTTCGGGAAATCATTTTCATTCTCGCTGGTGTTCCTTCATTCTCGTTTTGTCAATATTGACAAACAAACCCTTCTAGATGCACGTGCTTTTCGCGCTCACTTGAGCTCTCGCTGCTGCTGTTGGACGGCGGTCGCGGCTTCCCCTTCCTCTCTCTCCGGAACCAGGGCTCCTTCTCCTTCTCCGCGCGCGCATCACGCGAGCGCGCCACCTGCTCCAGCACCTCCACCGGGATGCGGTACTCGGGCATGCGGACGCTCCACAGATTCGTCGGACGGTCCGCAGGCTGCCGAGGAAAAATCAACGGTTCATATGAAATGCGGCTTCACACACCAGCGCAAAAGAGGTCCACGAGCCTTCGAAATTTGCATCGATTCGGCGCGCGGGCATGCGGACGCTCCACAGGTTCGTTGAACGGTCCGCAGGCTGCCGAGAAATTGAAGATCAGAATCTACGTAAGCTCAAGAGATCCACACGAACTCCAGTGATTTGCAAGGGTCCAATAGTCCAACATGCGGACGCTCCACAGGTTTGTTGAACGGTCCGCAGGCTGCCGAGAAAAGAAAATGACACTTCTATACGAAAGGAAAACGGCCTCAAACCAGCGCAAAAGAGGTCCAATATTTGCATTAGGACAGTATTCCGGCATGCGGACGCTCCACGGGTTCGTCGGACGGCCCGCAGGCTGCCCAAAAAAAGAGAATGTAGCTTTACATCAGGCTGCCGGGGAATTTTAGCACCAGATTGACACCAGCCTGCGAAAGATTCACAAGAGATCCGGTACTCCAAGAATAGACCAACACACGGGTTCGCCGCTTCCGGCCAAGTCTACGCAGGAAAAGCCTGCAAACACAAGCTGGCACTGGCAAAGGAATAAGAAAGCGACAAGCAGCTTCCGCCGCCCCTCTTTCTACTAAGTACTCCCCGTGACTCACCCTTATTTCGGGCGACATATGCACCGGATGCAGCCCCTCCGCGTTTTCTGGCGTCACATATTCCTGATATCCCGCCGGCCGCGTCATAATGAGCGGCCTTACGACACCCCCCCCGGCGCCTGGGGGAAACGGACCCCCCCCTCCCGGCGGGAACGGCCCACCCCCCCTCCCAGAGCCAAAGTCCGTCCCTCTCCCGAACCCCCTGGACCGGAAGCTTCCGCTGCTCTCGGCCCCTCGGTCCGTCCCGGTTCCGCTCGACCCGCTCCAGCCGGATTCCGGCCGGCCGGACTCCGAAGGCGCGTCGGGGTCAGGGGCTTCGGACAGCGGCGCGAGCATTTGCACGACGGTGGACATGGGCGGGCGGACGGTCTCGTCGGGCTGGATGCACATGGAGATGACGGCGGCGACCTGGGGAGGGCGGAATTGGGTCAGGGCGGAATGCCGGGCCGGAATCGAAATCCAGCGGAATCTTAGGCAAAGGCTTAACTACGGTCGAGGAGTGTCCCAGACGAGTATCGGGCTGGATGCACATGGAGATGACGGCAGCAACCTGCGGGGAGCGGAATTGGGTCACGGCGGAATGTCGGGAGAACAGCTGAGTGGCGGGCAAAAAAGCCAGAACGAAAGCAGATTGCAGCAGGACTTCGTGGCGGAAACTGAGGTGGTGCAATGATCTACTCGAGACGGCATTCTAGTCAGAGCGAGACGTGCTCATTTTCTGACTAGGGACCTTTGGTCGCACTAAATTTGCGCAATGGAAGGGGTTTCCTCTTCGCAAGAAAGGCCACAGCAAAATACATTCATATCAGATGCCGATCCTGGACGGCCCGGAATCAGAGTGAGAACCGTTGGGGGAGATCACCTTTCTCCAGCTTCATGAAGGCGAGCAGAATCATCGTGGAGCAAACGCTTTAGTACAGGACTACCCTCGAAAACACTTCCAATTCCGATAAACGCGCCACCACACAAGGCAGGCACTTCCGCAGCGGATCTCGACGCTTCACGAACATTTTGCACGCTCTGTCGAACGCTCTCTAACATTCCTGAGCACTTTCTTCGCGCTTTTCAATGCGGCTCGGATGGCCTTACCTGGTAAAGCTCTACCAGAGGCGCTCTGTTACCGAGCTTCGGGTCCACGATCTCGGTCAGCGTCTCGCGGTTGGCCAGGTGGGGCTTTGCCTGCAGTCGACAAGGGCGAGCGTTGTGATGGGTTGCGCAGGGACTGATGGAGCGACTGATGAGCAAACGGCTTGCCGCTTTCTCAGGCTGGCTTGTGTATCAGATTCCGTAGGGGCTACTCGTAGAATCGGCCGTCGAGGATTTGACATCGCCCAGTGTCTCTCACATCTGTTCTGGATTACCGTAGTGGACCGCGATCTAATGATGCGAGCACAGCGCGATTCCTGGATTGCTCGAGACACGACCGAGAATGACGTCAGGGATTCGAGTTTGAAGACCCGCTCACCACTTAGACGGTGGCTCTCAGAGTCTCGAATATTTGAAACAAACTCTCCCTAAAGAGTCTCAAATATTGAAACAAACTCTCCCTAAAATCCTTTCGCCACACCGTTTCACAGAAGAGTTTCGAAACCCTTTCTTGCACCGGAGGAGAGCTACAAGTTGGGAGCCCGAACTCACCCATGCGATGATGTGCTGCTGGCTCTCGCTGCGCGTCTCGTCGAGCGGGGGGCTCCCCGTGATGAGTTCCAACAGCACGATGCCAAATGCAAACACGTCGCTCTTGGGACTGGTCCAGCCCACCGAGGGGGAGGCGGGCGACGCGTAGCCTGCGAGTGACGTCACGCACTACGTCAGCTGAGATGCACTACATACGTGAGGCGTGATTATTGTATTTGAAGACCTCGGCCCCCGAACATTTCTGCATTTTGCCCGTTGAACAGAAGCGAAAGACTGACTTTGAGCCTGTCACCTTGGGCAGGTTTTTAACAAGGACTGACTTTTCTCGATCCACCTTCATCAATCCTGATCCATCGGTAATCCAGCTGAACCGATATTTCAACTTCACTTTTAGATTGCGGCCCCACTGCGCATACCCGGGCTTGCAAAGGCCCCCCGTTTGACCCATCGTAGGTCAAACCAGATTGAACGAGATTCCAAGCTCACCAGTAGACATGGCCCGCCCCACACGCATTCCTGGGCTCGCAAAACGGCCCCCTTTGCCCCATCATCATTCTCGATCCTGTTCAATTAACCCAGCTTAACCAGAGTCCAACCTCACCTTCGGACGCGGCCCCACTGCGCATGCCCGGGCTTGCAAAGGGCCCATTTGATCCATAGTATGTAACCAGATATCCTAACCCCGCTTTGACTCAGTTCCAAGCTCAC